CAATACACAGCTGACATCTCTGGATGATGTTTTTTTGTTTCAAATGTCATACAGCATCCAGGGGGGACTTGTCACAGCTTTGAAGATGCCAGTTTCTTCATGCAGGCCATACAGTCCTTCTGTAATGGATGATTCAGATAATATAAGAATGATCTTTTTTATTACTGCTGTTGGAAGCCAAGGAAGCTTCCATGGACTTACTTCTGTAGTAAACACTCCTACGATGAATCTAGGTAAGGGTCACAGCATTCAGTTCATCACTGTGAGCAGAACTTCTGCTGAGGGAGATTGGCAGCCCTCTGGGTATTCTTCCAGTTGATGCTGACTTGCTCCATAGTCCTGCAGTTCCTTAGAGAGCAGGGGAGCTACTTTTTGGTGCAACTTTATTCTCACCTGTCAGGTTCTCAGTGGAAAAGTTCAGTGTTTTCTTATCTGGCATTGTTCAGGTCATATATATTGCCCCCTGTAAAGCGTATAGAGAACTTTGCCATTTGTTGGTTCAGCTAAGACCTGTAATCCAAGTAATAATATGGCTAGATATTTTCTAGACTTTTCTTCCTGACCATATTCCAAATGGTGTGAAAACACCCTGCAATACATGCCCCATATAAAAACTGAAATGACAGGATACATTAGTTCATTCATTCCAATAAACTGGACTAGAGACCTCTAAGGATCTGTTACAACCAAGATAGCTGTGGTGCAGATGAAAAAAAAAACCAACAGATAACCATTTCTTGCATGGTTTCAGTCACACAAAACATTTTGCGTGTCTTTGTGTACTGACACTGAAGCCTAACAGTTGGTCTCACACCAACTACAACCTCCCATAGTATAACTCTGAAATAAATTATGAAAGCACTCCATGGCGCAAGAAGATGTTATGCTTTATTGTCTCAGCTATACTTAATAGTGGGTGGTGCTGAATCAGCTTATCAGATGAGTATTTTCAGAAGTCCTTTCCTCAGAAATCTTTAGGTATTTACTGGTAAAGGATACCACACATCTTTTGAATTCTGTTGCTCATGTCCTCCCATATTCTCACTTTATTGCTTAAAAATTGCTGTAATCATGTGTGTTATTGTCTAACTGGAATAGAAATGCTTTCCCTCACATACTGCTGTTACAGCTTCACAAAACACTTGTTGGCCTCCTTGAGAGAAGTTAGAAGATCTGACTTCCTCCCACTTGACTGTGCTCTTTGTAGCATGATGTATTAACATCTGAGATGAAGTCTCAAAGACACTGAAAAGAAATGTTTGAAAAGGACTAAGGACCTCACTTTTCAAATTGGAACTGGTCTGTGAATGTGTCCTGGTTTCATCTACTATAGATTTAATTTTCTCCATGGTGGCTGATACGATTTTGATGTTGGGTTTAGGATAAAAGAAATGTTGATAACACAGTGATGTTTTAGTTGTTGTTGAGCAGTGTTCACAGTGTTCACAAGGACTTTCTTTCTTCTCATACTGCACTGCCAGCAAAGACACAGGGGTGCTCAAGAATCTGGGAAGGGACAGAACCGTGAAAGCTGACCCAAACTACTTAAAGAGATATTCCATACCACCTAAATATTCCTCAAAAAATGCGTACACATACCACAACACAGTAAGAAAACACAAAATTATCTTTAATTAGTCTTGAAGTTACATTTTTTGCAAAACCCTTATATATATTTAGCCAATATGTATACACCTAGCTTCTGGGGGACAAAAAGAGGGTGAGAAGGGAAGGGGAGATGAGAATGCAGTTAGGTGATGTAACTCATATAGAAAGGCTAGGGTGCAGTCACATAAAGGTAAGAGGGGAGCTGCCATGAGTGGTGTAAAGTGAGAACTAACTGTATCTTCCTCTATCTAATTCTTCTCAGAGATGCATAGTAAAAGAACAAAGCAGTAGTACCAAGCTATATGGGAACTGTTGAATCATGACCTGAACCTCTGATTGATCAGGAAGAGAATTCACCTGTGCTGCTAGAAGGGGTGGAGCCTGGCTCCACCTGTCCTAGACTCATTTAAGAGCTGACTACCATAGGGAAAGGATCTCTTCTGGAGATCCCTTCTCTGCAGTTTTGCAGGGAGCCCAGGGTGTAGTTAAGCATTCTATCTATTCTCCTTTAGTTATTATAACAGTGCAGTATTTTGCCTAACGCTCTTGTTTATTTCATGATTATAGCGTCTTTGCATTCATTGATTATACATAAGCTGTAACAAGAGAAATTCTGGTTGAATGTAGGAAAAAAAAAATAATAATAATGAATCTGTCGGTGCCTGTAGAGGCTATGAAACCTTTGCTCTTGGAAATGTTCAGAACTTGTCTGAACAAAGCTCTGAGAAACATAATCTAGCTTGAAGTTAGCCTTAACCCCTAGCACAGCAAAGATTTTCAGAAGGCTTTTCCATCACTAATTAGTCTATGTAATTAGTCCTATAGCAAAATAACCCCACCTCATCTGTTTACCAAATCCACTATCCTTTCTGTTTGGATATTTCTCTCTGTGTGCCCCCTCCCTCTCTCTCTTTGAGTTGTGGGAAACATGGGCCGGCTGTAAAGGAAGGCAAGACAAAAGAATGTAGCAAGCAGGATGTGCAGTAAATAAGGATTAACCATTGCATAGTGAGTAAAGAGAGGACAAGATAAGGGTTAACCACTGCGTAAGAATGCAGGTAAGCAGGATGTGAGGCCAGATAAGAAAAGAACATCTTGAAACTCTATTGTAAACTTGAAGAGAACATCACACAAGGAACGGGTCTGATCGGATTATTTCGGTTGAAGACAATGAGCCTTCATCCCATGACCACCAGAAGAAGACCCCCACTGCCCACGGCGCACGTGCAAGAGGGAGGGACCGTATGCTGGTGGGTTCTCGGAAATGTAATGAATTGTAATGAATTCCGGGAAAAACACTGATTATGTATTAGTTCAGCCTATATCTGTACCAAGCTTTTGTCCTATGGTGTGCAAGTTTGGAGGAGCTATCCCCCTTGCACCCAGCTTGGTGCCAAATGCTGAATAAAACATACCTGCTTTATAACCTAACTCTGGGTTATAGAGTTCGATTCCGTAAATCAATCCGTGTCCGTGATCTCCCTCTTGCTGCGTGTCCGTGATCCTCTCTCTCTCTCTCTCTCTCTCTTCCCCCCCCCCCCCTTTGCATCCCTTTCTCTCCATCTGCATATCCCCCCTCTGCCTCCCTCTTTCTCTGCGTCCCTCCCTTTCTCTCTCTCTCTCTCCTTTTCTCTCACCCACCTTCTCATATGTAGCAGGAATCATTGTTGCTAAAACATTCTTCTCTTTGTCAGCTGACTCCAGTTGAACAAGTGAGCAGGCAGATTCTAATAAGCAGCAAGTCATTCTTTTGCCTTCTTGCTCTACCACTTACTCTACTGTGTCCTGGGATATTGTTAATTTTCTTCCTAACTTTAATAACATCTGGCAAGAGCTAGTTGGTACTGGGAGTGATAAATGCTTGCGAGTTATAGTATACTGTTCTGTAAAGAGCTTAAGGACCGTAGAATGGTATTCTTAACATTTGTGAGGACTGCCTCCCTAATTCTATAGGCACTGCCCATACAAATTGTACTCAGTGCATTTTTGAGGCATACCTTGGATCTAGCTTCTTTGGATGCTCCTTTGTTCTTGAAGTGACAGGACAATCCCTGACGAGTTTTAATAAACTTTCTTGAAGATCACAGTCAAGGCAGAAGTGACTTTCTTTCTCATTTTGCCAGTGGTGTATTTATTACTCATCAGGGATGTGTTACTATTATATTTAAATTTATTTTATGCTTTGAGCTCAGCTCTTGATCTTCTTTTCTTATCGGTGGAAAGTAAAATAAAAGCTTTAAAGATGTGTCTGTTTCAGAAGTCAAGTCATTTTGTCATTAGTATTTTAGTGTACAGCTTTGAAATTGAGTGACTTGGATTAAATCCTGATGTGTGTGACTGACTTTCTTATTCAAATCTTAATAAGGTTAGGCTCAGACCTTGTGTTAGTTACTTGTAATTAGTTCTTTACTTGCTGAATTGCTGAAGAAAGCCTATCAGCTAATCGCATGTAGCTGTCAATCTTGCATTTGTTTCACTAATGACAGGATAACAGACACTATGTATGCTGAACTCATTGGTGGTTTCAGAATCTTAGTGGTTTGAGACATGCGTATGGAACTCAGAAGCCTAATTTTGTCTTTTGATCACTGTGATTTGAAGATAGCCAGCTCTGTAGCATGTTCTCTAAGCTCGTGTGATGGAGAAGCATGTGCTATGCTTTCAGTGTGATGTGAAAGAGTAGTAGAAGGTTAGTTTTCCAAAGACAAATATGACCTATCTTGCCGTCATCTCTGAATAAATTAGTCACCAGTGCATGGCTTGAAGTTCTATCAAGGAGTAAGACAGATAAACAAAGCCGGAGTTTTTCCTCTCTAAGTTATAATCACCTGAGTGATTTGCAGAAAAGGAGAAGATAAAAACAAACACTGTTTTAAATTTGAGAGTCTCTTTAGAAGTGGAAGGGACAGAGGAAAAAAATCTGGTAGAATTCCTTACCTTGAAGTCCTAGATTCATGAAGTCATGAACTTGACAGAAAGGTATTTCTTGAAGATTTTATGTTCCAAGCCCTCACTCAAAGTGCTGTTACGAGCTGATTCCTTGAAAATGACAGCAGTATTTGACAGGAAAAAAAAAAAAAATGCCAGTAATTTGGTGAGGAAAGTAGTTTACCCTCATTCCGGGAATATGAAATGAAGTGCTTTAAAGGAACTGCAAGGAACTGCAATGCAAACTGCATTTTTCTGCTAAATTATAGTTTAATTTCATTCTCCATAGATACCATGTGGTACAATCCCTAGACCGTAATTCTTAGATATTACATTAAAATGGAGGTACTGTACCGTTTTCATGAAGGGAAAAGCAATAGAAATATATTCTGGAAAGTAAGAAGCTGACAAACTTATACTGGCAAAATAAGAACCTACAAAAAACTTACTGTTGAGCAACACTGTTTGCTTGTATATTCACGTAAGCTTTATTTATAGGTGATTAAAAAGATTTTTCAGGCAAAAAATAATCTCATCCAATATATGATGGAACATGATGCGGTGCACTGCACTAGAGACTAGAAGATGCATATTTAGAACTGATGATTCACTTTTTGACAAATTACTTGTGATTCCATGGTCAGCTTTCATACAGTAAAAATACATGTGAATAATTACAGTCAATATTTACCTATAAGCATAAGATTTTGTAAGAAAAACAAGGAGTGTAAGAGGATGGGGAAGCTACAGACATCTTAGTAATATTGGAAGCAATATATATTTATTTGAGACATTAACTCATTCCAGCATACCACTGCACCCCTTGAGAATAGTATTTGCAATTTAAAACTTATCTGAAACATTAATGAAAGAAAAACTCTAGTTTTTAAAATGATTCTGTATTTAGAATCTTGCAGAGAACTCAAATGGGCAAAAACTACATGGCCACAAAACATGAATTACCCACCATTTCAGAGACTTTGCATTCATCACATTTAAGTACTATGTGCCTGATTTCAGAAGGTCTCATGCAAAATCCACCTATAGGAACTCACCACAGGATATTTGCAAGCTGATGTTCTTTAAAGCTCTAACAAACATTCAGTTATGAAAGTGAATTTTACAATTCATGGTCCAGTTTCCAGATGATATTCTAAGAGATGTTTGCTGATCCTTTATAAATTCCCAGCTCTTACCTACATTTTGCTCAGAGTATTTCCCAAAGCTATAATTTAGGCAGTTAATTAGAGCTGAAAAGTAGCGCTGTCTAGAGTAGTGATATCATCTTTCCATAACTGCATAGTTAAAATTAAGTAATCACAAAATGAGTTCCTATTACGAATAAACATTTTTCTCATGTACAATATATATCATATTATAATATACTATTTTATACTATATTATATAGTATTTATATTGAACGTAAGTCCAGCTATAATGTCTTTTAGTGGTCTTCTACATTGAAGAAACTGCCCTAATCAACTTGTAACATGCAAAGCTTGGAAGAACCAGAAATTCATTATAAATAGTACAATTTTATATGCATCTTCTGGCATCCTAAAGTCAAACAGAACACTCAATTCTGTTCTTTGTTTTCCCCGTATATTTGACAAGAGCTGTAGTTCCGTATGTTGTACATTTATGGTGGGATCCCAACCTTCTATACCATCTGTAGGAGGGATCATGTTACCACTTTCCACTGGAGTAAACATTCTAATATTTAATATAGTAATCGTGCAAGCATTTGCTCCTAGCTTGAAGTTCAGCAGTTCAAGATTTCACAGAATTCATTTCATCTCTCTGAAAGGTTTCTTGCTAGCGCATTTTGTAGTCATTAGATACTGATGCTTCACATAGCTGTCCTTTAAAATCCAAGTCTACGGTGAAATCCAGGTCGCGCTGTAGAAGATGTAAATGTAAGCAAGACCATAAATCCAGTGTTTGAATTCAGTTATTGCTCAGTTTGAAAAGACCCGCAGTCTTAAGAGTTACATGCCGTGGTTTCTGAGTTCTTTTGTTTTGAAATGTTGCTAGCATTGAAAAAGCAGGATGTAAGAAGTATAATGTCACCATGTAATCTTTGTTTAAGGTATATTGTATTCTTCTCAAGACTGCTTTACTGTCCTGGTTACAATTAGAAGGTTTCTGAAATACTGTGCTGTTGTAAGTATCCTATAATTTTTAAAAGCATATCTCATTGAGTAAAGGGTCTTCAATCGAACAGCTATTCCAGAACAGATTAGGTAAACTTACCATTGTAGACCAGTCCTTAGTCATTATTTTTCTTTGTTTTTTTGGAAAGAGGCACAACACAGTCTCTCAAAATGATGAAGGTGTCTCCCTACAGGCTTTTGGAAGACTTCATATTTCAGAAGGTCCAAGTGCTAAGAAATAATTTTTAATCTAAGAATACTAAGATAGTCTGTCTTATGATAACTATTAAGAAGATTTTCATTTTACCGCCTGCAATAGGTGTTGTGAGAACAAATTTGATTTTTGTTTTTTCCTCGAGAAAAGGGCAATGGACTGACACATTCAATGCAAAAGAAAATGTTTCCATGCCACCTGAAGACAACATTAAAGCGGGAATCACACTGTCCGCCTGTATTCTCACAGCAAGGAGTAAGTTTCAGAAGTGAAAGTGATTGTTTTAATGCTAGGCTTAATTCGTGTTTAATTCTTCCTATGCATCAACACTTTCATGAAAATTGTATACAATTTAGTTTTGGTAGAAAAAAATAGGACAAGTCATGCAATAAAAGAAAGCAATGGAATGTTAAGATTCACTGCAGTCAATGAATACAATGTTCCAACAATTACAATGACAGCTTGAATGGATTATTATCACACTATATTAATGGCAGTATGCGACAATTGCAGTAATAAAAACCAAGGAGATTACATTAAAGGGTTTTGGCAGAAAATGGTACCACAGTTTCTCATGGAAGCAATACTTCTCATATCTTGCTTTTCTATACTGGTAGTGGTTGTCCATCAGACTCTGTCCCATAGTCTCCTCATAAGCTAAAAGAAGCCCTAACTCAAGACATCAGCCCATAGCAGACAAATTGAGGAAGTTCTTGGTCATCATAGAGTGATATCTATCATGTTTTGGCTTTGGTCTTGAACAAAACATCAATATTTCCTATAGACAGCCACAATTTGAAATAACCATAGTGAGTTTGAGTAGTGAGTTCATACAGAAGCAACTGGAATCTGTTACTTAATTTCCTGAAAGGTGAATTCTTGGGTGCTGAGTGGAAAATGTGGCTCTAAGTATAGGATTTCCTCAATCATTCTGTACTGGTAGGGGGCTCTTATTTCTGATTTTAGTGACAGTATGGAGAAACCCTTGCCTGCTTTTTTTCACAACCTATGATTCTAATTATTTCAGAGGGCAGCGGACCTGGTGATGTAGCTGGACGATTTCTTCCTTCTCTTGCTAGCTGGTTTGCAAGCTGTCTTCTGTAATGTAAGCACTATGTTATCATTGCTGTCACCAGTTTTGGTGAAGCTATGAATACAGCTTTTACTAAAATACACAAATTTAGTGTTTTTAGCGTACTCGGTGTTTTACTCATACACAATTTAATTACTGCTGATTATTATTTGTCATCAGTAGCGTTGGAATTAGAAGCAGTGATGCTGACTTACCACATTTTTTGCGTTTGGTTTCATGGATATTGTCCCATAGATTTCTTCTCCTCGTCTCACAGTTAAATAGTCTTCTAAGTAGAAGACAGTTTGCTTCCAGTGAGTATAGGGAGCATCAGGTGCTAGAAAACATATATGGGCTTTATTTAAAGAAATTTGGTCTTTGTCCTTAATTCAAATTAAGACTTTCAAACAAACGAAAAAGGGCCTATAATACTTTTAACTCATATACAGTATTAATAGTTGAGCTTAAGGACAATCATAGCAACTGTGATTCTATTGACTGACAGTGGGTTTTTCATCCAAGTTTTACTGGAATGTGTTAGATGTGATTACAGACAGCAAGAGGGATTCCAAGAAGAATGTTAGTGAGCATGACAGGCACTTTCTGTATGCATTCCTATTAACTTAAACACATTCAAGTTGGGGAAGTCTTCATCACTAAGTTATTTGAATGTCAGAAGTATAGATTAATTCAAAATCAGAAAATCTCAAAGAATTGTGCATGAAATGCTAACCACAGAAGAAATCTTTGATTCACCATGCTGAAAGAGTACAAAACAGAGATTTTTCAGGAGAACATGTCTGGGGAAAAGGCATTTGAACCTGTTTTTTTTTGTTTTTTTTTGTTTTTTTTTTTTTTCAAACATCATATGCTATGGATGATTGACAGAAATGGATACCAGCCTAAGTGAATTCCTAATCTCTCTTAGTAGAACCACTTTGATGCCCTTTAAATTTAGAACTAAACGATAAATTTTGCCAAGTGCTAGTCTTAGTTAAATCTGGGGTTCCTTTGCACAAGTATTTTAATTAATTAATTCTATTAGAATTGAATGCTTGCTTTGGTTTGTCTTCGTTTTCTGTTTGTCTTCAGGACCAAGCACACGCTATTCAACTATTTTGTATTCAGGTTTTTTTCCCCAAAAAATTCCGTTGCTGCTCTTTGTATTTGGAGGAGAAAAAAATACTATAAATCCTGAGGATGGCAGCACACACTTTGCAATCATTCTTCAAAACTTCCAGTATTATCCTACTTGATGTTTAGAAAATGCTTGCCTTTTCAAGTTAAGGAGACCTAAAACGGATTATCCGAAATTTAGAACTCTCACCTGTTCTCAGAATACTACAGTGCAGAAATGAAGTTAATGTCAGAGAGAGATGACAATGCTAAATCATCATCAAGTTTAATAAAAAGAAGTGACTACCTCCAAAGAAGGGTGATCTTGTCCTAAAATAGGTGAGAAAAACTGCCTTTTGCCTTGTTTCAGTACAGGAGAATATAATTGATGTTGCATACGGTTGGCCACAAACTTCAGGGCAGTTAGAGAGAAGTTCAGTGCCACCCAGCCAACACTTATGTAAAGCTGCAATCAGCACCTGCTTGTGACAAGACTTGTTTGTGAATGACTATTTCAAGCATATTTTTGAATAATGTATCCAACGTTTTTTTTTTTTATTCTGCCTTGGGCATTAGTCTATTTGGATACTTATTTCACAGACTTCTTCCTATTGCATAGGGCTGGCTGATCAGGAATTACTTTGTTTAATTCTGCGTATACTACATCTCTAAACTTTAATTGAATGGTACTGTTTGTTTTACTTGTCATTTCTCTTCAGCAATTTTAATTTTTCTGTTTTGCATATTTGTTTCTATCCTTGATTTAAATACAGAAGTTCAAGTAGTCCCTAGCGAACTGGCACTGATAACTTTTGCCTGTCATTGGTCACTGATACCTGTCACAGTGTGAGAAATACTGCAGTATAATGACTTTGTAGAATGACCAGGGAAATGTATTTGATGAAAAAATGTAAGAATGAGGTACCAATAATATCTTCCATATGGTTATTCTAGAAGAATAAAACATAAGTTTTGACTCTCAGTGAAGAGCTGAAAGCTCCTGCAAGGGGAAAAAAAGAAAATATTTCTAAAAACTTTTAACTTACATTAGATTCCATTTACACCAACGGTGCCAGTAACAACCGGTAACTACTGTTTGTTGTTCTCATCATTAAAGCAATTGCAAGATTTTTACGTTTCTTGTGACACTGGTTTACTCACTCTGGCACAGGACTGGAATTATTCCAATTATTCCTTTAAGTATCTGCTCACCTAGGGAAGTTAGGGTTTCATGTATGGATTGATTGAGCCAATTTACATAAGCAGTATGTGTGTGGTTATGTTATTGAAAAACTGATAATTTTGTTCTAGATTCTGAGTCAAGTAAGAAACTTTTGTTGAGTTTTGGATTTCATGGAAGCTGGGACCCAGAGCTGCTATTTCTTACTGAGGCAACAATCTCTTGTTCCTTGTTTCCCGCAAGAAATGTGATATAGGATTAAGATACTGTAAGAGATTATTATTTTACATCATTGTCTCAAAGCTTGTTGGAGACACAGATGAACAAGTCCAGGCAAGTTGAGAAATCTCCAGGGCAAGTCCAGGGCAGGGGTTGAGAAATCCTTTGTCTGAAGGGCGCAGATGGACAAGGCCAGGGGCAACGAGAGCGAGATAAGCTGCAGCTTAATGGCCGTGAAGCCGTCTTTTGTGTGGGCTTATCTCGAGGAAGATGGCCATCTCAGGGGATACTCACATGACTCTTGCTCAAGCACCCAGGGATGTCACATAGGCAGAAAAAGGAGGATAAAATGGGGACCTACAATCAGGAGGTTTAGGTTTTCTGGCAACAGATTCCTCATGAGGAAGAGGTTTCTGCCATGAGAAGCCTCACGACCTGCCACTCTCCCTCCTGGACTTGCTCTGCACACTGCCACAATGCTGAAGAAGAACAAAGGCGTCTGCCTTCAGATTCCTCACTACGGAATTCCTGCATGCTGACGGACTTTCCTGGGCCTGCTACCTGAGTTGTGCTGCTTCCTCCCGGATTGGCTCCGCGACTGTCTCTTGCTACCTGCTTGCTGCCCAAGGCCGGCCACTCTGCTGCTCTCCCCCCACCCCCTGGTGCTTTTGCCTTGGACCTTCGTCGTGCAATGGGACCGCTGCTGGATCCTGGTGGTGGCTGTCCCCGCTTTACACAATTCTTGTTTCTTTCCTATCTTTTCTATCGCCCTCCTTCCCTGCCTGCCTGATTAGGATTTATAATAAACTGGTTGGGCTAACATATGAACTGTTGTTTCTTAATCTCACGCCAGGTATACAGATATTAAAAGAACCTCATCTCCCTCCTATAAACTGGAGCAAGACTATAACTGCTGATGAGCACGAACTCCAGGATTATAGTTCTTTCTGAGCTGTAAGATTGGTAGCTATGTGAAATACTGCCACTGCTTTTGCAGAATTTCTACAATTGTCCTTTCTCTATCCTGATCACTTCCTTCAAGGATGATAGTTTTTATCACTGAAATGAAAACTTTTTGTTACAGTAAACCCTCATGTACCATCTGACCAGCAGTACTGACAAACAGTTTGAAATAGAACAAAAGTAGGGATTACCTGTAGAAAATCCCATCTTTTTGTGGCACTTTGTAAATTCAATATTAAAGTAGGTGACCAATGCATGAATGTAATCATTACGCTGAATTTGGAGGCAGAATGCTGAAGTAAATGCCAGTTCTTCAGTCTTCACTGTATAAATATCTACTTCCTGTTTTGAAGAGAATGAAGTAACTCTTTAGATTGAGATGTCTGTGACTAAGGTAACTGTTAAGGTGATGTACTTAAGCATTTTATTTAATGATCAACAACCAAGATAACTAGTGATCATTTATGCTGTAAGAAATTCATGGTACAATTGAATATATTAAATCAGCAAATGGTCCAGCTACCTGACTGAGCTGACTCTATGATAAGAGAGGCCAGTCATAGAAGAGAGTGTGCCCTTTGGAATGGGAGGGAGGAATGACAGGTGCTGGAGAAAACTAAGGTAAAATGATACTTTGATAAATATAGGTTCGATGGATGCTGAAATGGAGATATGTAACCCAGTTTTAAGATCTTTCCTCTCTGGTGCAGTCAGCGTAAGATGGTAGGGTTTTTTGTTATTTGTTTTTTTTTGTTTTTTTTTGTTTTTTTTTTGTTTTTAAAGTAAAAACAAACCTCTGATTTGTTTGCGCTTTTCTGGGAGGGATATTCTGTGACTATGTTGTGTTAAGCAGTCAAAACACTTGAGTCATTTGAGGAGACTGGTTTTTGCTGGTAATGTTTTCTAATCTTGTGTCAGACAAAGGTTTCTAATTAGCAGGCAGAGAGATATTACCCTTCAACTATACAAAAGCAGATTCTGTAAATTGTTTGGAGCAAAGATGAGTCTACAAGATTGCTTATTTCTATTGATATTTAAATCACGCTTTTCAAGGCTTAAACTTTTTTTTTTTTTTTAATTGATCTGATTTTCCCAGCTAGGTATTTATTTAGGTTTTATCAGGGATGCTTCCAAGATTGATACTGATTGATAGGTATAAGATTGATAGGTATATTACTAAGTCATATATATAGAAATATTATCAATTATTTTCCATAGCATTGGAATGTCTTTCCTATCAATTTACTTTTTGATATTCTTGTAAGTATCTCAAGCTTCACTATCTTTGTCAGGGCATAATTAGCAGGAGATCTCAAAATACTTTGATTTCTGTTATTAGGAAAATCAGTTTCAACAACAAAATTATCCATGCTATCCATAAATATTTTGTAGGCAGAAATCCAGGATTCCTCTACTGCATCAATGTAAACTGTTAATCATATCATTGATTTCACCAGCATTACTTCAGACTTACACTTCAGGAATGGAGAGCAGAGATTAGAATGTCCATGCAGAATAGAGGGATCTTACTTATACTTTATAACCTAAGAGAACCGTGTACAAATAAGCGTTAAAAGTACAACCATATTTCAGTTCCTGGACTCTGTGACTCTCTGTACATTTCATATCTGTCTGATAAACTGAAAACTTATGGTGAGATGATTTGTGCAAGTTATTGGTTTGGTCTACCTGTCTATTTGAAACATTCAAAAATAATCTGAATATAATGAAAATGATTCTAGTACATTTCTATGTAACCATGACTCACTACAGTTTTTTTTGTCTGAAAAGTGGATTTTTTTTTTAATCCTGTGTGCAGTGAACCAATTCCTAGGCAGTCAGGAGAGAGATTTCTTTTTTATTTAGGCGTAAGTGCCAGCAGAAGCACAGTAATGCAAGTTTCTTCATTATGTTTTACATTAGATTCCCAAATATTCCACCTATCCAATACAGAAAAAACATCTACTACCTACATATTCAAATACTTTAAGTGTTTCAGAAATATTAAGTTCTGGGTAAAATTGTTTCACTTTTGAAGGGTATTCTAAGAACAGAAACATGCTTTTTACATCTATTTTTTTTATTAGTATGCAGGATATTAAACTTTGCAGGGGGTTAATTAGCTTATTTTTGAGCCTGGCCTGATCCTGGTTTTGCTGATCCTCTTATTCTGTCAAGTATATGTTTATATGTTCTACTAAAGTACACAGTTCATTGAACATTACTAACAGTTCAGGGGATAAAAGCTTTGAATAAAATAAGTAGAAGAGTTGTGATTTACCACATTTCATTTTAAATAACTTAATGGAAAAATGATTGAATAATGATTGTAGTTAACCAGAGAATGAAAAGGAACTGAGTCTTTGTGGTGAATGAGCAAACTTCTGCTTCATTGACCTGATTCCATTGCTCCTATTGAAACAGAAATCTTTATTCATGTGAGTAGTCCCACATCTCGAGGATTCCTGCACGTGAGAGGAATTTTAGAGCTTTCACATGTTCCTGTAGCTACAGACTTCTAACCTGGTTTTGTGACCATTCTGTCTTTTATGTACAAGAGGGTACAAGTTAATCTCTGTCCGCAAGACTTGGTACTGGGAGAGAACAGCAACATTCTGGATAAGCCTAAGAATTAGGAATGTTCACAAAAATTAGGTTCCAATTCTGATTTCATTGTCTGGAATAAACTAGAGTTACTTCATCAGAACCAAGCAATTCGTAAACTACAAACAGAAATAATTTACTCTTCCTCAGCAGCTTGCCGTTGGTAATTTTCAGCCTCTGTTTACAAGAAGGTAAGGCAACTAGAATTCATATTTAATACATCATGTCTCTATCCAGTATTTGCACATTATAATTCGAAGAGTTTAAGTTACAGTTTGACAACCATTTATAGAAGTAGTCCAATGAGTGGAGTTATAAGGAGCGTCTCACTTTGAGGCATTCCATAATATGTACTGCTTAGTTTAGCTGACAGCTGAGCATGTGCAACATACCAATTTACTCTATTTTTAAACTAATTTGAACTAATTTTAAAATTTCTAAAAATTTGTCTTACTGTGATAGTATTCTACGGTGATGGCTTGTCTGGCTAGTTAGAAGCGTACGAAGATATTAGTAAAGCAAAAGCAGCAGGTTTCCAAAGAATCCTACAGTTAGATGTAAACATTCGTAGTTAGATAAATTTGGAATTACCAAACCTTTATTAAACAGGCATTGGTCACCACTTGCTTTGGATCTACTATGTCCACCAAAGGCTCCTTCATGGCAACATCCCTAATACAGGTCATGTCAAAGCCGTACACATTCTCCCACCCTGTCAATGCAAATGGATGTGTTAGAAACCAGCAGTAATATAAATATTTTTTGCTTCTCAAGCATATTTCCTTTGAAAGTATTTCTATGATTAGCTGATTTTGTTCTCATTAACTCTTTGCTGAGGTGCCACAATTGTCCATGTCATTGCTGCTATTTTATAGATAATGCAGTTGTGGCAAAATAAACATTGATGTACATCTTTTAACAAGTGGCCTGTGTTTTTGGATGCCCCCACCCTAAACTCTGTTACGAGACTTGATGATTGTTCAGAGTTCTAGATATTTGGGAGTGTTGCTCAAAATTATATAACGTGTCAGACCGAGGCCTAGAAATGTATTCTATCCTTTCATATTCATCTGGGAATTTTTAGGTTGCTATTCAGTTTTACATATGCTCTTTAAGAAGCAAATTAGTGACAGAAGTAGAATTTCATGTGTGTTTCAGCATTTGGGAGATTCAAGATCTAATCTGCATTGACATCATGGCAAAAAGCAAAGTATCCTTCCTCTAAACTATTTTAAATCCATGCTGATCTCCAGCATTTAAACTTGCTGAGTGTTTTTGTTTTTTTTTTCCTTGAATTAATAGTAACTTAGGGAAAAGTAAACTGGCTCTACGTTTAAGATTGATTCACAAAATGAAAACTTCAAAAAACATGAAATATTCTTATCACGTGAATCAGGTTTAATTCAGCAGTCTATTTGAAAGTCTAAAAACAACGTCATAAACGTCACTGGGCATTACAGCCTGTGTTGAGTAGAAGGCTGGCTAGAAAAATTCAGTGAATATATAACAATTATACTATTTGGACAAGTGTAAAATACATTGGTGGCTTTTTTTTTTGTTTGTTTGTTTGTTTTTGTGTTTTTTTTTTTTTTTCCAATTATTTCTTCCTCCCCATAACTGTGGTACTGGTGTTCCAAGTAGGTTATGACCGAAGGAACTTCAGATTCTATTTTGAGAAGCCAGTTGTTTTTATATGATTAGTCAGACCTAGGAAAATCATCATCACCTAGGAAACATTGAGGAAAAAAATTCTTTTGGTGTATTTCAGCCTACATGAAATGTCATTGAGTGCATGCTACAGTCTATGTTAGAAACCTGTCAAAGGAGTAAGGAGATAAAAGATAAGGAAAGATATTTTACAATTTGTAGGAAATAAGACTAATTGACTATAGTAGTCCTCTGTGGTATTACAAGTTTGAGACATCAGATGTTTTTTAGAAGTCTTATATTTTATTACTTCATTTGCTGGCTTTTGAAGGTACTTTGAAAAGTTCAGACCTCAAGCTCACATGAAGGCAAGATTTTCTCCCCCATCTTAAGAGAGAAAAAAGAGGAAAAAGAGGAAATGTAAGAAGATACGATCAAGGAGTTACAAATTGAAAAGAGGCAAGATGGCAGTGCAGCTATGAGTGAGATGGAAATAACTAAGAAGTTACAGAGTAAACACTGGAGGTATAAAAAGTGAGGGAAATCAGGTGAAATCAGAAAAGAAAGTGTCTTAAAGAAAAACAACATTTTAGAAGAGAAAATAAAACCTGAAGATTTTCAAAGTATAAAAAAAGAAGAGTTAAATCCTGAGATAAGAACAAAACTCAAAGCCTAGAAAGGAAGGAGTTTGAAAGAAAAGTGCAATAAAGGAGTTCTTAGCCCAAAATGTCTTTGAATCTTTTTCAGAATGGATGCCACATGCATCCTTCTGAATCTGTAAATTTTGTAATGAATTTAACTGTTAAGGTCACCACAAGAGAAGAGAATAACCTGGGAAATGCTTGAGGAGTTGATACAATTTTACCTGGCACTTACAGAAACATTTTTTTCACTGCCTTACTGCACTCGAGTTGCTTTTGACCCGTGATGACCCATATGCATTGCAGTTCTATGTATTGAAACTGAATTTGATTTTTTCTGAGAGGAATTTTAGAGGAAAAGGAGGAATTAGGCATTTTCATCTGTAGGTGGACTGGACCAACAAATTTTGCTGAAACTTCTGTGTATATCTTTTATTAACAAAGCTGCTTAGGAATTTTTGTGGTTCCCCCTTCCCCCCTTCCCCTGCCTTCTAAAACAAAAAATGCCTATAAGTGAAATTGACAAACTCTCAGAAGTAAATAAATAAGAGTCGAAAAGAAAAAAATAAAAAAGTGGGGGAAAAAAAAAAAAGCAATGTAGAATTTGTTTCTTTCATCAAAACTATTATGACCAAATAAATCCAGGACTTGGGAGATCTGGGGGATTATAAATTGAATGTGAACTAGGATTATGACACAGCAGTGATAAAAGTGAAGCACTCAGATATGAAGTATTTCCAGGAAAACTGTGTTTGAGGTGACAAGAGACAGTGGATGCAATTTCAGAATGGAAAATTCTGGCTGAATGTTCATAAACATGTTTACTCTTGAAGGTACTTTAGCGTTAACACAACAGCTTAGAGAAAATAAGGAATCCCTGTCTCTGAACTCTGCTGGACTGGGTTCTGTATGACCCGATTTAGTTTTGAAATTTAGTGTGCATTGAGTAGGAGGTTGAAGAAGATAACCTCTACAGGTCAATTAAAGCACAAGTTATTCAATGAAACCTAAGGCAAAAAAATTAAATGTAAATGCCAGGTTAATTTTATGCATCCATGAAGCAAAAGCAAAAAACCTTTGGTCTTTTTCACATTAAATGGAAAATTATGATCCTTATTTTTTATTTAAAAATGCTAATACGAAGTGCTTTAAAAAGTATTACATGTTTTTTCTCCCTGACAATTTATTAGTGAAATGTAATTTTGACACTTATTTCTTAATCTTTACAGTTCAAATGCATCAAGTTAATTTTTTCTGTTGTTATTTTTATTAAAAACAAAACAAACAACAAAAACAGCACCCAAATGACAAGAATTCTCTTTTTCGAAGTGTTCACTACAAAGTGCTTTATGATTTTAAATAAAAGGGGGCAGATTCATCTTAGATGTTAAGAGGAAATTCCTTACTGTGACTGTGATGGGGCACTGAAAGATGTTGCCCAGAGAAGTTGTACCTATAGGTGCCTCTTTCCTGGAAGTGTTAAAGGCTAAGTTGGATGAGTTTTTAAGCAGTGTGATGTAGAGTAAGCATCGCTTAGCATGGCAGGGAGTTCAAACTAGATGATATTTAAGGTTCCTTCAAACTCAGACCATTCTGTGATTCTAATTTTAATGAAGGGATATTTAATTTTTTAAAATTTTAATGTGGGATATTTACAAAATCAACAACGAAACTAAATCTCCTAAAATACACATCTTAAAATAGATTTAGAGCTATTAATAAAGCTGTAAACATTGTATCATTCATGTGTCTGTCCTTTGCAGACTTTAAATTATTGAAAATTTACTTAATTTTTCATCAGACTAGAATTTTTGTTTTTGTTTGTATTGGAATTCTGCCTGGCTAGTATGAATTCTTGGCTTTTGCAAAATGTTGTTGGTAAGGAGATTACAGAAGGCAAATGTAAGTCAAATATTTTAGGTAAATAACAGCAGAAAATGGTTATTCTTAGGCATGTACTCACAGTGAATTTTGAAGTCCTTGTATTGTCTGTCTTCAATTGCTACCACGTACAAAGCAGCTCGGTCTGGAAACATTAGCCCTCCTGGTTTCTGTTGATGAACTGTGGGGAAATGGATCTCGTAATCTATTCACCTGACAAAGACATCACATTTTGAACTGCACATACAAAAAACAGACAAGCATCTCTTGCATGCCTTTTCTGTTTTACTTCAGATTGTCACATCAGCTTTAATGTCAGCAAATCTTGCATCCTGTAGCAATGCTATTATAGAATGCCTATATGAATTTCAGCGGCAGTCAATCAAAACCAAATCTCCTTTATTGAGAATTTTTGGTTTTTTGTTTTGTTTTCTTTTCTTTTCCATTAAAGCCTACAAAATTGTATTGGAGATGTAACTGTCTTTTGTTATGAGAACAGTAGGAGAAGGAAGGCTTGTAGTCAGAAAAGAAGTGTTGACTGTTTCAGAGAGGAGCATAAAATGCAGGGCACCTACCAGCCATTTATCTCGTGCGAAGATGACTGTGTTTAACATTGACTCATAGAAAAGACAATAACCCATCCACTCGCTGATAATGATGTCTACTTTATCCACAGGTAATTCAACTTCTTCCACTTTACCTTTAAATATTGTGATTACTGAAAAAAAGAATCCAAAGAAATACGTTTCACGTAATAAAACACCTGACTTCCTTGCTAGTGAAAGTCAGGTTGACTTTTTCAATATCATTCTCTTCTTGACCGCCTGCAGATTAGGAATGATCTCACAGGACTCCGATAACCTTTACGTTATTTTAAAGTTTTCTTCAGTAAGCATCACTTTTAGCATAAATGGAAAAAAACACCACCACACTAATAGAGCACATATATAAAAACAAAAAGAAGAAAGATCTTACTTACCCTGTTTACTTGCATGATCTCGTTTTTCATGCCCTAATAAATTTCGTTTTCTAGATTATTAACAAAGTAGTGCAAATAATCCACTTAAAATATTTAAACATTCTTGTAGAATTACACGTCTGATCTCATTATTGAGATATTAGAGATTAACGGAGCTAAAATGTAATTCTCATCTGCTTTTCAAGTACTATTCTGACTTTACAGTGAGAAAACTGAGACAGCGTGTGAATCATGGGAAGTTGACTCAGTTGAGAAAGTCAAATCCAGCCTGACTGTATGCGAACAAGGAAAGTTGTACCAACACAGTTCTGTCATGAAAAAATATTTGTTAAGTAAATACTAAAAATTAAGTACTAGTCCATATCCAGTTGTAACAAACAATGTCCTGTTGGGATCATCACACTATTCTCCAATCATTCTTGAATGTTTTTCATGTATCTTCTATTTTCTAACACAGACTAAATTCTTCAGAAAAATATTTTTTAGCTTGGGTTTGTCTGCTATTCTTTGTTGCAGGGGGCAAAGTCTAGTGGTTTTGTGTTTTGTAAGTTTGTTACCTTGAGAAGGCAATAGATGCACTTTAAATTCTGGAAGACTAGGGAAAATTTTACTTTCATATAATAATGGGCTGCATAACTGTATAACTCTTAGTATCCGGCAATTTTTATTGGTGGTAAGCTTTATTGTTGAAAGCGGTCAACATTTAGTGTGGGGAGAAGTAAGGTACCTTTATTTAGCTGTAACTAGGTAAGCTGTTCAGCAATTTTAGAACTTAGCCCAGGAAAAATGAGGTTCTATTCTTCCAAAATACATGCAGTATTAGTCATACTCTAACCAGATATGGCTACTATATTTTCACAATAAGCAAAAACAGATTGGCCTTCTATGAAGTTTGCAAGTTCTCATTCAAACAGATAACATAAAGTGTCAACTAGTTAGAGGACCCAGCCTGGATGAGAATACAGTTTCCTCCTCATTTTCATTTGTTAAACTCCTTCCTTTTGCAGTTTTTGCAGGTCAATAGTTAATTGGTTAATATGTTACAGACTCTTTGTGTTTATATGCTCCTGCCATGAATTGAATTCTCTCCAGTTCACTTTTTTTTTCCTGAGAACGTTCACTGCCTCCACTATTTTGGCATGAATATTAGGGCTGTTAACAGCTGCCAGTGTGACACATCTGCAGACTTTGAAGCCATATGTTTACACAAAGAACAGCCAAAGCATGAATAGTTCCTCCCACCTCCCTTTACTTTGATGAAACATCATTAGGCACCATCTGAGAACAAACTGTGCTGTCCCCAGCTGTATTACATCAGTACATCAGGAAAAATTGCCATAAGCAATAAGATCCTTTGACTCAGTACCTGCTCACATTAAATTAAATGTATGTCAGTGTAAACTGTAAATCAGCCAATCTCCTGCCACAGCAGAGCAGTCTCATTTTTCTAGGACTTTTTCCTATTTAAATGAGAATTTCTCCCTGGAAAAAGTATGGAGAAGACTAACCTCTGGATCACACTGGATCCTTCTTGGAGCCATTCGAACTCACCAGGTAGTGAAATGAATCTGACAGTGGGGTGGCCTACTAGATGACAGTGCTAGAACAAGGTAATCCAGAAATAAAGAGTAGGAAGGAAAGGAAAAGAGATGGGGGACTTCTTCCCTTCAGTAGAGATGACCTTAGATGTTCCTCATTATCATGCAGCCTTACAACTTTGAACTATATAGAAGGAGTAACTTCAGCAAAGAGAGATTCATTTTTTTTTTAATAGTACTTTCAGTCTGACTAACAAATACAATGATTCTTGGGATGTAGACATCCAGACCACAGAGAATCAAGCCAAATTATTCATAAGGGAGAACTACAGACTCACTAATGATATTAGGTCTGCATCTATTACCAGATCTCAGGTGTATCTGTCTGTAAACTGAAACATTGTTCACTTATGCTTTTCACATGAAGGAAGTCTATGTTGGTCTTCAGAAATAAGTCTTAAAATTCTTAAGTGTTCTTAAATAGTCTTAAGTCAAAGACAAAAGTGTGGAGGAGATCTGAAAAGTCAACTGTACTGTAGGTTAGATTTTCTAACATTCCACTGGTTTTCATAATGGACGCACCCTAGACTCTTGGTCCAAGCATCAAGAAACTTTGGGTTTTTTTTTTTGTTTTTTTTTTTTTTCTTCAAAACTGATTATTTTAATATATGCACAATTACTGTGGAAATTAAGCAAAACAGGATTGTTTTATGAACATATATGTTCATGTGTATATAAAGGCCAATTCTTTCTAGATATTGACAATTCTATCTGAATTCTATCTGAATTTAAAACTCTCACTGTTAAATTCTGAAACTAACAAGTTACTCTGTTATAGTGTCCCTTAACATGCAATTTCTGGTGTTGGAAATCCAAACAAATACAAATGAGTTTATGGTAGGCTAGTGTGAAACTACTTTGTGAAATGTCTTTCTAGGAACCCATCTGCTCTGCACTAAGGGTGTGGGCTAAGCAAGCTGTGGTGTTGACACTGCTTCGATGCCTTCTCCATCTAGTGGAGGAGAGCATTTTCTGGTGCTTTACTTCCTTCTTTTTGTGAAGTAGCAGCCAAATACACTGGCTGCCTATTATAATCCATGTTACTGTTCTTTCTGATTATTTTTGCTGCATTTTTTTTTCTTTCCCAGCTTTATTTGAACAAACATATATGTATGAGAAACTCTCTTCACAAACATCTACCATTGTTTAGATGCTGCCAGTGACAGCAATAAAAATTAAGGCAGAAAACTAGTCCTGAATTTGTGCTTGCACAACACCAGAACAGGCACAGCTAAGAGAAAAGGAAAATGTTACAATCCAACTAATGTGATCTGTGTCGCTCTGCAGCAAATTCAACCTGTCTAAAAAGAGCACATTAAAAAAACTGTTTCACAGCCTCAGTTCAAAAAGCCTGATTTCTTCAGGTTACAAAAAGAGATATTTTGTGCTGTGATTTGGAGGACTGAAAACAAGGACTAGAATTAGCTGGATTTTTTTGATTATTTCTTTAGTTTTTGATAGGTTGGGGAGATGTTTATATATATATATATATATATATGTATATATATTTAAATTGAAGTATTTCCACATCTTTGGAAATTTTACAGTTTCTGTTCAGAGAGAAAAGTTCTCAGTGATACTGCTATTCTGGCAATTAAATATTTTGATTGGTGTGTATGTGTATTTCAGTATGTTGTTTATTTATTTATTTATGTATTTTAAATACATTTTTGTGAGGTTGGAAGTAAGAAGAAACAGTAATAAATCAGTATTGATTTGGAATACTTTTTGCTCAGAACATCATTTCAATTTTAATTTATGAGTGTGCATGTGTGAATGAGTGCTGATTCTATTTAAGACATTAAGGTAGAACTGAAATGGCAGAATTCATTTGAAAGAGGAATTTTGTTGCTTGTTCAGCTCTACTATGTGACCTTCTTACTGCTTTGCTAAATAAAACTGCCATCTATCACTTCTGTTGTCTATGAGCCTGGAAGTAAGGGTAGAAGTAATTCCCCTTGTGAGGAGTTGCTCTAGTGTTTACAATGAGCACTTGTTTTAATTGTGTGATTATACAACTGAATAATGCAAAATTATAATTTACATACAGACTGCACAATATAAATTAACTAGGAAAATTAAAAAGCACTTTTATTTCTCCTGAAAAAAAAAAAAAATTTGTAATATGCCTTACTGTTGTCCAAGTGGTTGGCCTTGATAATTTTTTCAGAGTAGTCAGATATACTTGAACATTCAATCTAGAAAAAAAGAAGAAAAGAGGAAGGGTAATTAGACGTTACTGATATCAGATGCATGAATATATACAAAATCTACTGAAATCAGCAGAGCCTGTGCAGAACATTCAGTGACTGTTGAAGAGTAAATCAAACCTGTGTGTTCAATATCTTGAACAATTCTATCTTAATATTTAAACTGAAGTCTGTGCGTAAGTTAAACTGGCTCATACAGAAAGGACTGTTTCTAAAATTGTTAAAATGTGGAAAAAAAGAGATCCTAACTACAAGTTTACTTAATATATAATCATAATGTATAATTTATTTTCACTACCTCAGATATCACCCTTCATTCAGAAACATCTCGTGAAGGGAATGATGGTACTTTTCCTCATACATTTTAAAATAAAATAGATTCAAGCTTTGTGAGTAATGTTAAAATTCAAACCATGGAAATATGGTCTGTTTCCAAAACAACTGCTTTTAATTGTTAAATTCTATCCCAATGCATGCTATTAAAAAAGAATAAAGGAATTTTACACAAAAGTCATTGAAATAAGATTATTTATAAATCATCCGTATCTACTTTTCTTTTCCTATGACCAATGTAGTGGAAATGCTAAGTCGTGGCTGGAAACAGTGATTGAGCACATGGTAAAAGGGCAGGGGCAACCCAAGGGAACATGCAATGGACCTGAGTGACTAGAACAGGTGGAGCCAGGCTCCATCCCTTCCTTCCCAGACCTCATTTAAAGGTTGGCAACAGAGATCCCTGTGTACCTTCAGGCCCTCTGAAAGTAAGCAGGTTATTTTCCTATATTTCTGTGTCTTCTGCTGTTATATCTAACCAGATCCCCACTCTCTGTAACTTAAGACCTTGCTACCTTGCCATTTTGTTACGCTTTCTATCACATTGCTCTTAGCAAGCCAGGCAGAAGAGACAGCTGTATACATACTTAGGATGGATTATCTTAAAGGAATAACATGTTGGCTGGACACCAGGACCCATAATATCCCAAAGAAGGAACTCCTGGGATTCGCAAGTTTCCCTGAGTGCTGCTCAGATTATTTAAGAATGGGGACCTATAAGTGACAATATCAAATCTCCTTCTAAGGTGGCAGAGTTGTTGAATAAATTAGATCAAACTTTCTCTAACAACAGAGACATCCACTGTGACATGTCTCCGACTACTAGCACATATCATTCCTCTGTGGAAGAACTAAAAGAGGAAAACAAGTTTTTAAAAGCTAGTAGCAAACAACTGGAAAACAAAACTACACTTCTGACGGGGGGAACTGCCCCATCTTCAACTGTCATTTCCCCTCTAAAAGTAAGAGGAGGTAAAGGCCCCAGATCTTTGGAACCTGGCTGAATCTAAAAAGAAAACTAGTAAGACAAAAGCTCAAACAGAGGATATGGGCTCCCAAATCTTCTAGAGATAAGACCAATCATAACCCAAAAAACAAAGGAAGTCCAGGACAGACTGGTGGGTTTTCCACCTGAGGAGTGGCCCCCTGCCCACACCATCTTAAATATGATGGTATGCCTGTGCATGGCTGCTGAGCTGAAGGGATCTGCTAGAACATTTTAGACAAAAACCAAATGAGTGTGCCAGAATGGCTGCTTAGGCTGTGGGATATAGGGGTGTAAAGCGTCACAGTGAGCAGGCCAGAAATTTCAAAGCTGGTGTTCATCACTACTCCCCCTGCCCTCAGGCAAAGGATTTATGCTGCAGTCCAGCACAATCAGGAAAATCCAGTGGTTAATGTGTAGAATCTCATGGCCAAATAAAAATTTCATTCCCATAAATACAGTTTATAGACTTCAGTGGAAGAACTCCAAACTTACGCAAGAGTATTAGGTATGAAAGAGGCAATCTGTGAGGACGTGTTTGAAAGTCCAGACCTAGTTTTCAATAGGGATAAGAGATCTCATCTTACAACAAACACCTGCCATACTGATATGGCACACTAGTGTCTATACTAAGTCCCCTGGTGGCCTCAGAAGCCACTGTCCAACAGGCCGCCCAGTTAGTAGCCAATCAGAGGGAAACAGTGGCTGAGGGCCAGACACAATATTGGGATGTTGGAAGGGTCTGAGGTCTTACCCATAGCTAAAACTAGGAGGCCTGCACAATAGACATCACGACTGGGACTCATGCGAATAACCTCAAAACAGACAGTTCAATGATTTAATCCAGGATGGAGTTTAATTTGCAAAAATTGATCACCAGCTCAATCATGTTCTCCTCCAGCTATGGAAGCAGCTGGAGGAAAATAAAAAATTTCAAAACACCCCCAGAAAAGTAGGGTAAGAATTATTGAAGATGTTTTAATGGGAGCATGGAACCTAGAAGATTTTATAGTTCCTAAAAAAAGGAAAAGGCCTCCTGAAATGACTTGGGTGATTATGCCCAAGCCACATGAGAAAAAAAAATTGGTGATTGTGCAACTGCTTGCATGGTGGGGAAGGTCAGCCCCCCTGCAACTAGGGCACCCAGACAGGACCAGATGCCCTATGTAGAATTGGCTGTCTTTTGGTCCCAGAAAAATATACAAAGAGTGGTGGCATTAGTGGACACAAGCACAGAAACCTCAATTATTTATGGTGATCTGACTAAATTTCAGCGAGATGGAGTGATTGGTGGGTTTGGGGGCAGACCATCCCTGTAACCCAGACATGGTTGAAGTTTACGAGTTGGGTGTCTCCCGTCCTGGGAGTATAAGGTATCTATTTCTCCAGTCCTAGAATAAATAATGGGCATACACATATTATGGGATCTGACTCTCCACTGACTGTGGAAGAGTTCAGACTGAGAGAGAGATGTATTAGTATCCAGGTGGTACAGGAGATATTAAGAGGCCATGTGAAACATGAGCCTATCTGCCTGCCAGAGCTGTGCTGGATTACTAATACAAAAAAGAGTAGACTCCTGAGACAGCAAGAGGAAATCTCAAGAATGGTGCAAGAACTAGAAGAAGAACTAGAAAAAGTGTGAATCAAGACTTGCACATAGCCTACGTAATTCCTCTATATGGCTGGTATGGAAGTCATACAGCATGACAGCATGACATGGAGAATGACAGTGGATTACAGAGAATTCAGTAAGGTCACACCACTTGTGCATGCAGCCATACCCAATACCGCATCTCTCATGAACACATTCAGTAGGAAGATAGAAACCTATGATTGTGTCCTATATTTGGCAAATGCATTCCTTAGTATTCCCATCCATGAAGAATTGTAAGATCAGTTTGCATCCACGTGGGGAGGCAGGCAGTGACCTCTCAGGTCCTGCCATCCTTTCAGGTCACGTACATTCACCTACATATTGTCATAACCTAGTGGTACATGACCTCGCCAATTAGAATAATCCTAATAACATCAAACTGTAGCACTATACTGATGATCTCATGCTGATTTCTGACTCACTGGAGGCATTATGAAAGGCAGTAAGATTTGCTGACTACCTATCTACAAGAGAAAAGGTGGGCTATAAACCCACAGAAGGTGCAGGGACCAGGCCTGTTTGTGAAATTCCTGGGTGTAGTTTGATTGGGAAGGATCAAAGTACAACCCAGTGCAATAATAGACAGGGACCATGTGTTCCCAGTCCCTACCACACCAAAAGCAGCTGCTAGAGTTTTTGGGTGTATTGGGAGACTGTCATTCCTTTATACCCTGGAGTATAAAGGGGATGCCGGGGATGCTGCTGTTCTAGGGGATCCTACATCCTCTGTAAAGGCGGTGAGACAGAAAGCCCAGCTGAAGTGCTTTTTTACCAACGCACACAGCCTGGGAAATAAATAGGACAAGTTGGAAACTGTGATGCACTTGGAAAGTTATGACCTTGTTGCTATCACGGAAACATGGTGGGATGACTCCCATACCTGGAATACCACTACTGAGGGATATCGGCTCTTTAGAAGGGATTGGCAAGGTAGGAAGGGTGGGGGAGTTACCCTCTATGTCAGAGAGTGGATAGACTGTGAGGAGCTTCCTCTGAGAAATGGTCAGGAACAGGTGGAGAGCCTGTGAGTTAGAATTAGGGATGGGTCTAACAAAGGTCAACTGGTGATAGCAGTATATACTACAGGTCACCTGATCAAGGGGAGACTGTTGAGGAGGCTTTCTTGCTTCCAGTGCAGGGGGCTTTGTGCTCGTGGGCTCTTGTTCTGATGGGGGACTTCAACCATCCGGATATCTCTTGGAAAGACCACACGGTGAGCTGCAGGAGGTCCAGGAGGCTCCTGGAATGCATTGATGATAACTTTCTGGTCCAGGTATTGGACAGACCGACCAGAGGTGAAGCGTTGCTGGACCTGCTGCTCACCAATGCAGAGGAATTCATTGCGGGTGGTAAGGTTGGAGGCAGCCTGGGCTGAAGTGACCACGCCCTGGTTGAGTTTGTGATCTCGATGGATGTGGACCTGGCAAAGACTGGTGTCAGGACCCTGAACTTTGGTAGGGAGAACTTTAAGCTGTTCAATGGGCTGTTGGCCAAGATCCCCTGGGATGCTCTCTTTAAAAACAAAGATGTTGAGGAGAGCTGTCTACTCTTCAAGGATGCCTTCCTGAGAGAACAAGAGCTCTCCGTCCCTCTGAATAAGAAAGTGGACAGAAGAGATAGGAAGCCGGCGTGGCTCGGCAAGGACCTGCTGGCATGCTGAGGGCGAAGAAGGTGCATACAAGCTCTGGAAACATGGGCGTGTCACCTGGGAAAAATACAGGGATGCCGTCCGGATTTGCAGATGTGGGATCAGGAAAGCCAAGGTGCAGGCAGAACTGAACTTGGCAAGGGACATGAAAAACAGTAGGAAGACTTTCTACAGGTACATTGGCCAGAAGAGACAGGTCAAAGCGAGTGTACCTCCTTTGGTAAATGTAAAAGGAGGTAAATGTAAAAGGCTTCAATGGACGAAGAGAAGGCTGAGGTACTGATTGAGTTCTCTGCCTCAGTCTTCACTGGTGGCCAGAATTCCAGTACTTCTCATGTCCCTGAACCCTGCATCCATAAACCATA